ATAACTTTTTTTGTGTATGTGTGGTGATGGTGCTGGGGTGGAACCCAGGGTCTCAGGCATAAAGCACTCTAATACTGAGCTGTGACCCCAGTCCCAGAGGAATAACTTCTAATGTCCCATATCACAGTAGTATAACTATGGTTGACAACAATTGAGTATTTCAAAATAGCTAGTGGAAGGATTTTAAATGTTCCCAACATAAAGAAATGATACATGTCTGAGGTGACACATGTGCCATTTTACCCTGAACTGATCATTACACACTGTTTGCATGTATTAAAGGGTCATACTGTACCTCCCACAAATGTTTACAATTATTTTGTGTCAACTAAAAATGATAACATTTAAAAAATTAAAAAGTAAAATAAATAAAAATTACTGATGCCAGGAAAACACGTAAATAGAAGTGAAGAAGGACTCCACATGTGTAACCCACACAGATACATGTGCCAGAGACCTGCAACATCTTCTTTCACAACTGCCTTTCTGATTTATCTAAAGCAAAACTCTATTGAAGTTAGTTTAATAAATGAAATACTAAAAAGAACACTTTTTACAGGCCCACTTGTCTGCCCACCATGAGGCCAGTAGGTGCTCTCTGCAATCAGTGTGGAGAAGTGCTTCTTAATGTTCTTCATCCAGCTTGCATCCCACACTGTCTCTGTGGGTTGTATTTTGATTGTGAACTATGATCAGTTCTGGGCTAGAATACCCACCTGCATGCTCTTCTGGCCCTCACTGTGAGCCCTGGTTTTGAAATTCTAGCTCTGTCCTGGTTCTAAGCATATGGTAATAGATACCACTTCCTCTCCTTTGATAGATTTGTTTTGCTAATCCTAAATCTTGAATGTTACAATTGTATTAATGTCCAGTCAATCATACATTATGAAGTTCATATTAGACCGTCAATATATTAGCTGTCATATGAAAATAACTAAACAGAAGAGAGATAGGAAGAAAATACTGAAAAAGCAACATATCTGGCTTGAATAGGATTTCTTTAATTTGCAGAAACATTACCATTATCATCAAAGGTCCAAATCAGGTACTGGTAGAAAAGTCAATGAATTTGAGGGAGCTGGGCAGAAGAGACTCAATACATAAATTTATAATGTGGCCTCTGTATGAAAGGGAAATCTGTGTATTACTATCTCTTGGGAATAAAACTGGTTGTGAATAAATTGGACCATTCATGTAGTTTCACAGGTTCTGGCTGTGAATAGATTTTAAAGAATTATCTCAGAACAAAACAGAGGGATAAAAGAGCGAGGACAGTGTTTAAAATGTCATCTTCCTTATGTGGATGCTAACACTCAAGGGGCAGGGAGAATAGAAGTTCAGTGGATTAGACAAAGGGAAATGGAGGGAAGGGAAGGGGACAGGAATGACAGTGGAATGATTCTAGCATAACTTTCCTATGTACATATATGAATACACCACAGTGATCTCAACATCACGTACAACCACAAGGTTTCGATCCTAATTGGAATCAGATGTACTCCATGTATATATGTCAAAATACACTCTATTATCATGTATATCTAAAAAGAACATATAAAATAAAAAATGGCATTTCCTATTAATCCTTATCATCTATTTAGTTGACTTCTTAGAATGAAATGGTTGTGCTTTTTTTTTTTTTTTTTTTTTTTTAATGAAGGTGATCCATGAACAAATTTTACCTCTCCACACCAATCACTGTAGGTTATTGGCTATCATTTTGACTGGCCATCTAAGGCCATTAATTGCATTATGCTTGTGGCATATGTTAGAAAAGAGAGTCTAGCTTTCTAATCTGAGCATGGTGGTCTGAATATATGCAGCATATAGCCTTGAATGAATGTTAGAATAAAAATATTCATTTTTTACCTCTCCCTGAACCAATAAGAATGATGTTTGAGAATTCTGATCTGTAGTCCAGTCTGCACTAAAGGGAGGCCACCATGGTCTGGTAAACAGGGCATTAGGCATGAGCTTCTCCATTATGGGCAGATAAGTAGCCCTACAAATGGATTGCATTTGCTGTTCCATAGTTGCCTAAAATGTATTTGCTCATTAACACCTGACAGGTTGATACCACTGAAGAGGGCTACCGAGCAATTAAGTCTCAATCAAATTAATCCTGCAGAAAGTGACTTCTCTAATGGTACTTTTCTTCAAAGAATAATCTCCCTTAGGGAGAGAATCAACTAAGGGAAGCCAAATGAGGGGCCATACATAGATTTGGGGGTTTCAAACTCTAGCTGACTGTTGAGTCACATTAATCTACAAGTCCTCGGTTTTGAAAATTCAAATGAGGTTTAACTTTTATTTTCATACTACTTATAAAGACATGAATTTCTAACCAAGATAACCAGCTCAGGAGTTTTTTGTGTACTTTACAATTGAATTTTCATATGTATTTATAAAAACACTAATTCAAAATTATCATCAAATTTATTACATCAAATGTTATGATGCCTACCTTAGAACACTTTGAAAGCCATGAAAATGAATTTCAAAGAACTAACAATGGGTTCCTCTAAAGGCACTCATTAATTTAGTTCAGGTCCAGAAAGCACCTAGGATTGAACTCAGAGGTCCTTGTTTAATCCCAGATTCAAGCACTTGAGCCTGAGCCAGGTGTGTGCTTTCTAAGATCATGGCAACTCCTATGTGGGGCCTGCCATGTGCTGGGGCACACTGGGCAGCCTACAGGAGAGCTTGCACTTGGTCAGCAAAGCCCCTTTGGCAGGAGCCATTACTGATTTCATGGCACAAAGGAAGAAAGACATTTGGAGTCTAAGCAGATCATCTCAGCCAGGGTGCACAGTCCCCAGTGATCATGGGAGACTGTGGACCTTCTGGTGCTACCCAGTTTTTCCATGCTAAGATTTGCTGGGCAACACTACAGGGAAACAGAAAAATACAGCTATTCATACGGATAAAAACATTTAAAATTCAGTTCCTCATTCACAGTAGCTACTTTTAGCATAGTTGTTTCCTCATTATTCCTGGGTAATTGGTGCTGGGGACCCCCTGTGGAAGCCAAAGTCTCAGGAAACTCATGTATTTTATATAAAATGACATAGTATTTTCATATAACCTACATACATTGCTGGGAGCCATTAGCCAAGTAGGTATGACAATTTCCTTGCCACCGTACCCCATGTTGCTGACATGTTGCAGTGACATTGAATGTAAGTGACCTTGCTCAAGGACCAAGGCAGATTAGGGTGTTCCCGGTTTTAAGATAATCTTGTTTAGGGCGTTCCCAGTTTAGGTTCCAGGTTTAAGGTTTAAGATTATTCCTGCTGGGAATAGGGCGTATCCTGCTGCCTGAGTTCCCCTTGAGTTCTCACGGGATTCAGACAGTATATTTTGGAGATAGAAGCCCAGTGGAGGTGAATTTGGGAGAGAAGGTGGATTTGGGCAGAGAACGTGGATTTCCCCAGAACGTGATTGTAGACGGCTGGTGTGAGTTCGGGAATAAAGAGTTGCTGTTTGAATCTACAAGCTGTGTGGTGGCTCGTGATTGTGTGCCCAGCCCGACTGCGGCAATACATCTGCCTGTATACTTTAAATAACCTCCAGATTACTTACAGTTCCTAACACAATGTAAATGCTATGTAAATAGTTTAGGGAACAATGAAAAGAAAAAAAAATATATACAGTACAGACAACATTTTTTCCTGAATATTTCTGATCCACTTTGGTTGGATCTGTGCACACAGAACCCACAAGTACAGAGGGACAAGTGTACTCGGTAGCCGCATGTTACTAGCAGTTATCATACTGGACAGTGCAGCTATAAAACACTCCCACCACAGCAGAAAATTCTAATAAGCTCTACTGCTGCCCTAATGCTTGAAATTCTGCTCTCTGGTTCTTCTCTTACTCTGTGACTCATCTACCAAAATTGGCCTCCATCCTTTAACTATTCCCTCCCCTTAGGGTCCACTAGATCCTTCTGATCTCCCTGCCTCCAAACCTTCACTTTCCAACCAGGATTTTCTTCACATCCTTGATTCCCTTTCTCCTGGCTTTCTGTTGTGTATCAACTCCTGCTAATTTCTACTCTTTGGCAGGCAACATCCTTTTGCTCTCCCTGCTCCAGATTCTGGATTCTATTACTGGGAATGATGCAGAAATTATAATAATGCTAGTCAGCCTTAACTAGGTCTTCTCTGCTTCTCAGCAATTCTTTAGTTTATCTTATATTAACTTAGTAACTCATCCAATATGATGCCTTCTTCTCTAAAACCTCAGCACTCTTGGGACCCTCACTCTTCAATATGATCTGACCTAGTAGAGAAGATATTATTGCCATAAGCTTCTTTGACCTTTCCTCTAACTTTATTTTGGTTTCCTTTAACAAAAGGAACTCACCAATTGCTTTTAACCTGGGAATATGAATTTGCTGCTTCCAGATCTTTGTGTAATATCTCTTCATTTGCAAGTCCTCCCTCTCCAAACTGCACCTCTGCTGCTTTTGGATTATCTCTCCTGAAAGCAATTCTTTCTGCTCAAACTTCCCTAGCATCTTATCTGTGCCTTTCACAGTTATTACCTGGAATTTCACATACTCCAGTATACACAGGGCACCCAAATATTCCCTCATAAACACAAACATTTGGAGAAGGGGCTGCTAGGCAGATTGAGCTTGGCTCTCCAGCAGCAACAAGTACTATTCTTTGCACAGACAGCAGTCAGTACATATTTGTTAAATGGATATCTATAGATCTATTTTTGTAAATGTCACACTAATTCCTAAGGTAGACAGATTGAACTCAATAATGAATTGATGAACACATTTCTTTAATGATCTCAACATGAAGTTCTAACTAAATGGTTACATTGCCAGAACTTCTGATGAGAAAATAAGACTGTACATTTCGATGACTAGAACTGCAATAAATTGCATGTGCCATATCTTCTTGAGGGAGGGTGGAGTAGGTATGAAATGTTAGAGAATGGTAAATAAGCAACCAAAGAAAGATGTCAAGCTGAAATAAACTTACCTTGGGTAGCAATATAATGATTGGGTCGATGATAGCCCTAAAAATAAAGAATATTTGATAAAATCAATAAGTAGCACAGAATTCATATGCTAAATTTGTGGAAATGATTTGCACATACAAACACAATAGCTGCTTCACTTGAAAGTTAAATTGGCCAGGCCTACGACCACTGAGTTTCTCTTAATAAGTGAAGGTGCATCAAATATAACTGTTTTGATGGTTGCACAGGAGGCGTGAGTAACTTAATTGTATATTGGCTATGAGATGATAGATGAGCAATAAACACTAACAACTTATGGATCTCCTGAAAAAAAAGTGACCATCACTCTTATTAAGATGCAAACAGAGTGGGAGTGTGCAATAGAATTTCATTTATGTTTGGGATGTTATTGGCAAAGTGCCAAGGGCTTACACATATTCTGTTTTGGTGGAGTAGATAGTTCCATCAATAGTAATACTCAAAACCATTCTTAAAACACTATTAAACACCATGATATGATGTTGTACCCAAGGGTCAGGAATTTCAAGAAACAAAAATTCTGTAAGACCCCTTCCTTTTATCAGGACCATATAAGAAACAAGTAAGATGAAAATTGGGAGAAAAAAAGCAGGTGGCAAAGAAATTGTAGGATAAGTATCTGGGAAAGACAAAGCCAAGTCAGAGAAATTATATCCAGTAACATATCTTCATGGACCTAATGCTGTCCATTTCAGTCCTCTGAAATGACCCAAAATATTGTGCCTAAGTTAGCTGGAACACACAAAAAAAGAAACTTGGAAAGAATATACAAATCTGTATATAAGAATATACAAATCTAAGATATCTTAAAGGTGTATCTGTAAAATTAGTTTTGTTCTTAAAAACAAGTAAAAAATGAAAAACAAAAGCAAACAAGTTCTTTTTATACATCTGACTGGTTGTAGATTTCAAATTATAGAATCATGACCTATATAAAATAGACACTCATTTCCCAGTACCTGACAAAGTTTCATAATGCAAGTACTCTGTCTGACTTATTCATTCTCTATGTCCAATGACTAGCAAGGTGTCAGCAGATAAGAAAGACACATCTGATAAACTGTGGTCATGCACCATATAGGAACAAACTATGTTGCTAAACTGCATAGTCATTTCCCAGTCCTCATCTACTTGACCCATCAGTTGCATGAATACTAAGGATCCCCTTAAAATACTTCTTCCACTTGCTTCCACAACAGGACTCTGCTGGTTCTCCTCCCTTTCTCCCTCCCTGGCCACTTGCCTTCTCTTTTGCTGGTAGGTTCTTCCTTTCCCCTTGATGTTGGAATGTCTAGTTCTTGGGTTTTCCTTTGTCTACCCTCACTCTCCTGGTCATCTGATCCAGGCCCATAGCCTTCAATACCATCCACATCCTGAGGAATTCCTCTAGTCTTTTTAAAAACATATCTTTGTTTTATTTATTTATTTTCTGTAGTGCTAAGGATCGGACACAGTGCCTCATGCATGTGAGGCAAGAGTTCAACCACTAAGCTACAACCCCAGTCCCAAATCCTATACTCTTATTTCTAACCCCAACCTTTCCCTTGAAATCTGGATGTGGGTCAATTTCCTGATTATCACTCCACTGGATGCCTAATATATAGGCATTACTTTTTTACATGTGTAAAATTGAACTCATTTCTTCTTACCCAAACCTGCTCCACCCACAGACTTCTGGGAAAACAGCAATCCCATCTCTTAAAGGAATCCCTGACCCCTATCTACCTCCCACACCCTTGGCCAATCTGCCAGCAAATCCCATGGGCTCAGCCCTCAATATAGATCCAGGATCCCATTTCTCCCTGTCCACTCCCTTTGGATTACTTCCACAGTCATCTAGCAGGTCTCCTTGCTCCAGCTCCTACCCACCTACAGTTTGTTCTCCTCTCTGCAGTCAGACCTCTGCTCAGATCCATCAAATCACTCCCATCTTGCACACTGAAAGCCAAAGGTCTTGCCATCATTTCTATTACTTGGCTCCATGGCCTCTCGCTTCATTTCCTCCTTATTCCCCAGTTGCGCCCAATACCATTCCACCAACACCTGCTGCTTGTTTTTCTTTAGATTTGTTAGGTAAGCTCTATAACAAAACCTTTGCTCAGGTTGATTTTCCCAGATATCTACATGGATCCATCCCTCATCTTCTTTGCTCCAATGTCACCTTCACACTGACTGCAGTCACTCTATTAAAAACTGCAGTTCACCTCCAAGCCTAACACTCCTACGTCTCCTAATGGCTTTACTTTCCCATAGTACACACTACCTTCTAATATACCATACAAAATTAACTCGTTTTACTTATTGTCATTACTTCAGCCTCATTAGATCAGAAGGTTATTATTATTATTTATTATTGTTATTATTATTATTATTTGGTTATTATTATTATTTTGGTTATTATTATTTTGGTGGTGGTGGTTATTATTATTATTATTATTATTATTTTGGTACTAGGGATTGAACCTGTGGTGCTTTACCACTAATCCACATTCCAAGCCCTTTTTATTTTATTTTTCTGTGTAGATACAGGGTCTCACTAAGTTGCTTAGGTCCTTGCTAAGTTGCTGAGGCTGGCTTTGAACTTGCAATCAGCCTCCTGAACCACTGGGATTACAGCCTAAGCATCGCCATGTCCAACAGTTTATTTTTGTTGTTGTTGTTTTGCTTTTTTGGTACTGAGGATTGAATCCAGTAGCATTCTACCACTTAGCTACATCCCCAGTACCTTTTTATTCTTTATCTTGAGACAGGGCCTTGTTAGGTTGATGAGGCTGGCCTTGAACTTGTGATCCTCCAGACTCAGCCTCTTGAATAACTGGGATTATAGATATGTGTCACCTCATTCAGCTGGCTTTGTTTTTAATCTGAATTGTTCACAGGTATAACTCCAACACTGGTGCTCAGTAAGATTTGACTGATCAAGTGAATAAAGTGGTCATTGAGTAATTACTCTCCTCTCTGTCAAAATTAACACTTGTCTATCAGGTATTTTAAAGTTGTGCTCATATTATTTCCTTGAGCTATAAGGTCTTCTCTCCTCTGTATGTCTACCCATCCACTATTTCAAACTTAGTTCAAGTGACCTCTTCTAGATGCCTACTCGGATCCTACAGACTCCTTTAGTCACTGATTCATCAAACATTTAAGTGTTTAATATATTTCAGGCATATTCCAGGTGACTAAGAAACTGTGCTCTATGCTCAAGGACCCAGCAGAGACCATTGGAGCTGGGACTAGAAGATGAACAGTGTTCAATGGAAGCCCCTAGGGGAAGGTATTTTATAGTTGACCTCCGGGTGAGGGGAATTGGAGAAGACATTTCATATTTCAGCTTCTACCTTGTGAGGCTATAAGGGTTGACATGATTTGGTCATCTCTTTTTACTACCATGAATAGTGAAATAAATACAATGTACCTTAGGAAGAAATCCTGATTTAAAAAAAGTCAAACTGGGAGTGGGTATTATTTTGGCCACTATCAAAATGGTATAAGGTTGTTTGATGAATGAGATATGAATTATTCTTTCAATAATAATCCTGAAGCTCCACCCACAAATCTATAAAACTGTCAAGCTATAACTAAATAGCAAAAGTTTTCTAATTAGCACTAAAAATAACATTCATAAATTATTTTTAGGTAACTACTAGAGATTATGGTGCTAGTTACTTTTCATAGCACCCAAGTCCTATTCAACCCCAGAAAAACAAGAAACAATATAAAGGTTAAACACCCCTTACCTGGAATGTTGAGACTTCAGATGGCATATTTGCATATACATAATGAGATATATGGGGAGGGGACCCAAATCTAAACATGAAATGCATTTTTTCTTATATATGTTATACATATAGCCTGAAGGTATTTACTCAATATTTTAAACACCTTTTGGTTTTCAAGAAGTGAAGTTTGTGCATCAAAACTGAAGGAGCCAGAAGAGATTTTTTCCCCCCTTGGAGATACTGAATAAACTGTGTGCTGTGTGCCTGTTTTTGGCTATTACCTGTCACACAAGGTCAGATGTGAAACTTTCCACTCTGGACTTGTATCAGTGCTCAAAGAGAGCAAATTTTGGAGTGTTTTGGATTTGGGGATTGAAGATGTGTAGCCTGCATAAGATGGATAAAACTTGCCTCTGGAAATGTTGCTAGCCTAAAAAATAAGGTGATGGCCAGGCATGGAGTATATCTTGGGAACTACAAAGAAGCTGAAATATGTTTAATGTGGACTTGGGCCTTGGAGGGAATTCCAACCTTCACTTGATTTTTTTCAGGCTACTTTTGATTTCATTCATTTCAACTGAAAACAGGCTGTCTCCTAAAGACTTTATCCTAATGTAAAACATTAAGTTAACATGATGCAGAATGAACAAAGAAGCTATCTTCAATAATTAAACAGCCTACATATTTAATGACACGTCTTGCTTTCGTTGGAAGTCCTGGTGAACAGCTGCAGACTACTTTGAAGGCAACTTAAAAGTGCACTGATGACAAGAGATTGCAAATCACTGCATTAGGAATTAGAGAGATTTGTTCCATTAATATGCAAACAGATTTTTTTAAAAGTGTCGAATAATTACAAGTTGAAAAAATAAATAAATAAGAGGGGAAAAATATCTTAGTCCACATAAGCATGGGACAGTCATCAGAGAAATACAGAACATCAGAGAAATTCACCAAGGAACAGGCTGACTTGAGAAAAGGAGTGACTGTGTAGTAACTGTGAAGTTCTATGGGGCATGGGGCAACATTAATACATTTGTTTTTAGTTTCTGTCTGAGGTGTGTCTGCCCATCTCATAGCAGACACACAATCTGGTATGTGTTAGGATGGCTGAGTTCACTGAGAGTTTAAAAATACATACATCGATATAATTTCCATTGATATAGTCTGAGTTGGTGTCTCCTTCTATTGTCTGTAGCCTCACCCGGGAATGATCATCTGCCAAGGAAAAAGAAAAAGAAAACATCCATTAATCAAAGCAAATGGTTAGGCTTCTCCAAGAATTGGAATATACTCCTATGACACAGAGATCATCCATGTATATGCTACCTTCAGGATTGCCACAATCTGTGTTTGATTTCTTTTTTGCAGTACTGGGGATCAAACCCAGTGTCTCATACGTATTAGGCAAGTGCTCTACCACTGAACCACTTCCTGGTCACCACAGTTCAGCAGTTTGATCTACTGCACACCTTCTTCCATTATATGCTCAATTATGGACTAGAACCTCTTAAACTCGGCCAATATAAACCTTTCCTCTTTTTAAGTGGATTTATTTCATGCATTTTGTTACAGGAATGAAAAACTGACAGAAAGATAAAGAAATACCGCACACATTCTAAATTTCCTACTTTGCTATTGGCCATCTTACTTAGAGAAAGGGATAGCAAAATCTGCCTGAAATTGACCTGTTTCAAGGATTAAATAAAAAACATAATTTGCCAAATATGATATCTGACAAACAGAAAGTACTGTATAAATGCTGTAATTGTACAAATACTATCCAGTCAGTTATTTCATTGAAAATATTTTGAAAAGGAAGGTATTAAAAGCTCTGTAAAGGCATGTATTTTCCTTTTTTGCACTAGATTAGGACCTAGAACATAGCAGGTTCCTCTTTAAATATTTTTTTGAATAAGTAAACTTTTCTTTTTTTGAAAAAAAATACAAACTTTTAAAAAGTATTTTCCTTGGAATGGGGATATATAATCTAGTGTTAAAGTGGTGGCCTGGCATGTGCAGGCTCTGGGTTCAATCCCTAGCACTGACAAAAACAAAACCAAAAATAAAACCAAAACCAAACACAACCAATAAAAATTTTCTCGCTAAATTAATGCTCTTTTTAGTAGAGGAACCTTTCCTTGTATTTAAGTGTACATGAGACCTCAGTATTTAGATCAGAGCTACTAGCTCTCTTGAAAAGGAAACTCCTATGGTTTCTGAGAAGAGAGGTGGCCTCATAAGGGCATTTCCAGTGTTGCTAGAGTGATGAGGGATCCTGCTACCAAACTGTTACTGCTTTTTTCTGATGCTACGTTAACCCAACAGTTCATTTGAGTTAATGGGTGAGAAAAAGTTCAGAGTCTGAGGTAAGAGCCAGGAGAGCTGCAGATGCTGGCCTATTTTGCCCCCATCCCTGGGCCAAGTGCTGACTAGGACGTCTTCTGGGTATAACATGCTAATGGATCAAAGTTGCAATTTTTTGTTCGTTCCTGAAGTTTGATTTTTCTGTTGGATGTTTTGTTTGTTGTCAACAATGTAGGAAGAAGGAAATCTGTGTTGATTTTCTAAGTTTCCTTCCTTGATTGAGCTTTTCATTTCATGTCACAACACAGCCTCATATTGAGTTGGGTTTTATCAATTTATCTGAAATATGGTTAGAAACTGGACCAGACAATCTACAGGACGGACCTAGAGGAAGTCATGTCTTTCTGTTCTTTTTAAAGGAGAATGTGGTACATGTGATCTCTGAGATCAGCTGGGTGGGTTGGAATCCCTGCTGAGGGGCAAGATTCTCTCACAGGCAATTTTGGGCAAGTTACTTCATTGCTCTGTGCTTCAACTTCCATCTCTGGAAATGGGAAAAAAATAGTTTCTACTTCATGGAATTATGGTTAAAATAATACACATGAAGAGGTTAGGGAAAAAAAGCCTGGTATACAGTAAGTGATGGATAAATGTCAGGTGTTACTGTCTGCTATGCAATAGACTCCCACACTTTCCTTATACTGACAGTTGATATCCAAAGGAGATGACAAGAAGCCCCAGGAATGGGTCATGCAGTCAGCATGTTTCCTCATGGAGATCTACTTTAGGAACTCGTTTCCTAGGACATACTTTACTTAAAACCTGTAGCTCCCTTTATGTTTTTTGCCCATGTCAGTGGTGAGGGAGTTGAGTTACTGGTGCACTGGACACGTGGGTTATTCTGGCATTTGTACATGTTGGAAGAGCTAGACCTACAACTATTTTAGAGTGGGGCTATAAGCAATCCCCTGGTGAAGCCACTGGAGCTTTCTGAATTAAAGATGCTGCAATAGAACTGAATCAGGCTGGGGCTGTGCTCGGTGGCAGAGCACTTGCCTCACATGTGTTAGGCACTGGGTTCCATCCTCAGTACCACATGAAAATAAACAAATAAAATAAAAGCATGATGTCCATCTATAACTACAAAAAAAAATAGAATGAATCATGGACATATTGGACATTTAGTCAACTCCTTCAGATTTCTTTTATCTTCCTGTATGCTTAAACTTTCCCTCCACAGCACCTTTATTTTATTTATTTATAATGTTGCTGAGGATCGAACCCAGTGCCTCACATGTGCCAGGCAACTACTCTACCACTGAGCCAAAACCCCAGCCCAACTTTTTTGTTTGTTTGTTTTATAGGCAGGCAATATATTAGAGCCTTCCAGTCTTTAGAAGGCCTGTGATAAGGATGTACTGCATTGTCTTGTCAGAACTTCTTTTAGAACCTCAGGACAAATGCTGCCCATTCTCTGTGATGTACCACCTTTGGGCTTCTCAAGTTGTTCTAGAACCTTCAATTTAGAAACTTCAGACTTTGAAAAGTTTGAATTCTCATCTTGTAAACACAAAGCCTTTGAATGAAGTAGTTCTTCTATTATATCCTACAATTCAATTTACCCCTCCATCCTCAGGTTTCACATGGCTGCCAATTCTCTAAATTAGATTGCTCTTAACAACTCTCATGATGGAGAGACCTAAATTACAGATGTGTAGCATATTTTTTAAGTAAATTGAGATTGTTTATGTCTTTGTATGTATTACAGTATTTTTTTCTTCTCTTAAAAAATAATTCTACTACATTATAACGTCTTATAGCCAAAGACCAGGTCATATACATCTGGAATATCTGAAGGACATTTTTCTCCAAAGTCACACTGTCAAATCCTAGGGATTCCATTCATAGCACTTTGCAGGGCTACATGCAGTGACCATGCCTAACACACAGCAAGCAAGAAAGGTTATTTAAAGGTATTTAACTCTTTGCTATGTTGATGAATGACCATTGGTCTGAGATCATCCAAGATGTCTGGTCTTGCCCATGTATCTTTTTAAATTTTAGTTTTAATATAAAGTGGGATGCTATTTGCTAATAGAAATAACAAATATAACTATGTACAAAAACTGGGATGAGATAAAGTTGAACCAAAAAATATTAAAAAATGCCATACACCAAAGAGTACATGCTAATACCCTCTGGTAGAACTTTCTGTGTTGATGGAAATGGTCTATATGCTCTCTAGGTCAACAGTCAATAGCCAAATGCAGTTACTGAGTATATGAAATGTGCCTAGAATGATGAAGGAACTGGATTTTAAACTTTATTTTAATGAATTTAAATTTAACTAACTACATTTAACTAGCAGCTACCATATTGGAGTCAAACAGAACATAAAATGTTTCCTTTACAATTATTACATTGATTAAAATTGTAGAACTGTTAATATTTAGGATATATTGGGGTAAATATATCATTTAAATTAATATGTTTACATACATTTCACTTTTTTATTTTTGTTTTTTAGTGTGGCTATTAAAAATTTAAAATCAGATATGTAGCTTGCATTTATTGTATACATTCTATTTCTCTTGCAATATGCTGCTAGAGCATATGCGAAACAGGAAAAATGAGAATAAAAATTGTGCAAGAGTCTTTTTTTTTTCTTTTGGTACCAAGGATTAAACCTGGGGCAGTGGAGTGGGACCTTTAACCACTGAGTCACATTCCCAGCCCTTTCCATTTTTTTTTTATTTTGAGACAGTCTTTGTTAAGTTGCTTAGGGCCTCACTGAGTTACTGACGCTGGCCTTGAACTTATGATCCTCCTGCCTCAACCTCCCGAGGTGCTGGGATTACAGGTGTGTGCCACCTGGTATGAGTCTTGATAGTCACTGTTTCAATGGAAGAAAGGGCAAACTGTGATCAGGACAAGAAACAATGGGGGCTTTCTGGGGTGCTGACAGTGGTCTAGTTGTGGACTTGAAATCTGTTAATGAGTACACCTTGAAGACATTATGCTCCATCAAAAGGATAAATACTACAGAGATTGGCTTGTGTGGTATCTAGAATGTTCAAATTCATTGAGGTAGAAAAAGAATGGTAGTTATTAAGGACTGGGTTGAGGGAGGAATGGCGTGTTGTTTAATGGCTACAGTTTCAGTTTTGCAAGATGAAGTGAATTCTGGAGATGGATGGTGGTAATGGCTACTCAACAATTTGAATGTATTTAATGCCACTAAACTCTACACTTAAAAAAGTAGTTAAAATAATACATTTTATGTTATGTTTACCACAAATGAAAGAAAATAAGAGAGCAAATCTTCCTTCCCTCTCTTATATATGACCTCCCCATGTTCCCCTCCAGCCCCAGACACCCTAGAAGTAGCATTTTCCAGGATGGGAAGGGCATTCATGGTCTTGGGGTCTTGAAGCCCAGGGCATTCTTTGCCAGGCAGATCCTTGAGATGGGCTCATTCCCTTTCCCTGATGAAGTAAGTACAGAGGTAACAGTGACTCTATGGCTTCCAATAGAGTCTACATTATTAATGTGAACTCAGTAGATATGTTTAAGAATTAGGAAACTGAAGTTCATTAAGTATTCTTTCTTTTAGTGGAAAGATGAGTGTATATACTAAGAAGTGAATCTGTCTTATCCAAGGAGACACAGGTGTCCTTGGTATCTGAGAGATTGGTTCTAGGACCCTGTGTGGAAATGAAAATCCATCAATGCTCTAACTGAAAGTGGTCTAGTATCTGCATATAATTTATGCACATCCTCCCACATACTCTAAATCATCCCTAAATTACTTATAATACCTAGTACAATGTAAGTGCTGTGTAAATAGTTGCTATATTGTGTTGTTTAGGAAATAATGATAAGAAAAATGCAACGTTTTTTTCAAATACGTT